CCTTCGGTGGAGCTCCCTGTGGGGCCACGAAACGTGTGAGGGGTGTGCCGAAATGGGTGTGCGGGACGCATGCGGACGGCAGCCATGGGGCCTTCGGTGGAGCTCCCTATGGGGCCACGAAACGTGTGAGGGGTGTGCCGAAATGGGTGTGCGGGACGCATGCGGACGGCAGCACTGGGGCCTTCGGTGGAGCTCCCTGTGGGGCCACGAAACGTGTGAGGGGTGTGCCGAAATGGGTGTGCGGGACGCATGCGGACGGCAGCCATGGGGCCTTCGGTGGAGCTCCCTATGGGGCCACGAAACGTGTGAGGGGTGTGCCGAAATGGGTGTGCGGGACGCATGCGGACGGCAGCACTGGGGCCTTCGGTGGAGCTCCCTGTGGGGCCACGAAACGTGTGAGGGGTGTGCCGAAATGGGTGTGCGGGACGCATGCGGACGGCAGCCATGGGGCCTTCGGTGGAGCTCCCTATGGGGCCACGAAACGTGTGAGGGGTGTGCCGAAATGGGTGTGCGGGACGCATGCGGACGGCAGCACTGGGGCCTTCGGTGGAGCTCCCTGTGGGGCCACGAAACGTGTGAGGGGTGTGCCGAAATGGGTGTGCGGGACGCATGCGGACGGCAGCCATGGGGCCTTCGGTGGAGCTCCCTATGGGGCCACGAAACGTGTGAGGGGTGTGCCGAAATGGGTGTGCGGGACGCATGCGGACGGCAGCACTGGGGCCTTCGGTGGAGCTCCCTGTGGGGCCACGAAACGTGTGAGGGGTGTGCCGAAATGGGTGTGCGGGACGCATGCGGACGGCAGCCATGGGGCCTTCGGTGGAGCTCCCTATGGGGCCACGAAACGTGTGAGGGGTGTGCCGAAATGGGTGTGCGGGACGCATGCGGACGGCAGCACTGGGGCCTTCGGTGGAGCTCCCTGTGGGGCCACGAAACGTGTGAGGGGTGTGCCGAAATGGGTGTGCGGGACGCATGCGGACGGCAGCCATGGGGCCTTCGGTGGAGCTCCCTGTGGGGCCACGAAACGTGTGAGGGGTGTGCCGAAATGGGTGCATGCGGACGCAAATGGGTGTGCCGCGTGCGGACGGCAGCACTGGGGCCTTCGGTGGAGCTCCCTGTGGGGCCACGAAACGTGTGAGGGGTGTGCCGAAATGGGTGTGCGGGACGCATGCGGACGGCAGCCATGGGGCCTTCGGTGGAGCTCCCTATGGGGCCACGAAACGTGTGAGGGGTGTGCCGAAATGGGTGTGCGGGACGCATGCGGACGGCAGCCATGGGGCCTTCGGTGGAGCTCCCTGTGGGGCCACGAAACGTGTGAGGGGTGTGCCGAAATGGGTGTGCGGGACGCATGCACGGCAGCCATGGGGCCTTCGGTGGAGTTCCCTATGGGGCCACGAAACGTGTGAGGGGTGTGCCGAAATGGGCGTGCGGGACGCATGCGGACGGCAGCACTGGGGCCTTCGGTGGAGCTCCCTATGGGGCCACGAAACGTGTGAGGGGTGTGGATGGGAGGAGGGAGGAGGGGGAGGAGGAGAGGAGGAGGAGACGCGGACCACCGTCTCTTCAAAACGAGGACCCAACACCACAGGATGGTTGGGAAAAACCTGTTGAAGAAGAGCCGTCCTCCGTTCGTGTAGAATGCGGCATGTGCGGACAGTTTCTGATGCAGACTGTCTGGCAAATGCCAAGAGACCCCATGTTGAATAGGAGCCGCCTTCCACCCGTGTAACTGATGGATCCGCCACCGTGCTGCAGGCACTGAGGATCGTGCTATCAGGTCCGTCGAGTTCTCTTTGTCGAATATTGAAGATGCTCTGTCAAGGGCCCGGAGACCAGATGTCTGGGTGCTCCCGAGGTGTCCCGCATGACTTCTCTGGATGCAGAGCACCACTGAAACACACTTAGCATGGTTCAACAATTAATGCGCGGGGGAGGGGGGGCATGGAGTGGCAGAGAGAACCCTCTAGTGCCAGGCAGGCCCCCGAGACCGCAAATCATGGGGGGCATCCTGAAGTGTGAGAAGCAGATGTTGCCATGGGGTCGCCCTGATTCCGTACAGCGGATCGGGACGTTGAGCAGAAGAAGCATGCGCGACGCTGAGGCACGAACCACATGTTGAACTGAAGGCGCCCTCAACCCGTGAAACGATTGAAACTATGAAAACAGCATAGGTGCGTCGCTGGAATAATATCCACACGTGTAAACCGCTCGACGTTCATCCGTTTAACAAGTTGGGGGGGGATTTGCACGGCGCTGGGGCAAACAACAGCAATATGCGACCCCCCCCTCCATCCCTCTACGTAACCTTGTCTCACGCGAAAGCCCGGGGACGGCAAGACGACGAGAAGAGGAGGTATGGAAGAGGAGTAGGAGGGTGGGAGTGGAAAGGGAATTGGACGATGCAGACGCGGGAAAGAGGACGGGACGGATGAATGGAGGAGGGGAAGGAGGAACGGGCAGGAGCAGGGGGTCGAAGGAACAAGGATGGAACATGTAGCAAACTCTCCCCCTCCGTCCTCCGCCCCCTCATCGCCCTCCCTCCTCCTCCCCCTCCTCCTCCCACTCCTCCCTCTTCCACGCCCCAATCCTCCCGCCCTCCTCCTTCTCCATCTCCAAATTACTTCTCCGCCTCCCCCTGTTCCTACCACCTTCCTACTACCTCCTTCCTCCCCCCTGCGCCTCCTCCTCCTCCTCCTCCCTCCCCCCTCCTCCTCTTCCTCTCTCCATCCTGTTTCTCCCCCTCGGCCCCCAGCCCCACAGCAAGCACGTACACGTGCTGAGCACTCGCCTCCTTCCGCGTGTGACGCGTGTAGCGGGAACCACGCTCTCCCCTGGCACGGCCCGTTCCCACCCACGAGGCTGCAGCACCACAGCCATCGGGCCACAACAAGAAGTGCAGGACAAGGAGCAACAGGGCTTCCTGAGGCCTCGAGGCGCCGCGGCCACGCTGGGGACGCCCCACCCAGATCCGAGGAGCGGCCTGGAAACCAGAGCCCCTCCCGAGCCTTGACTGCAGGTATATCGAATGCGTTGTTCGGTCGGCGCGCCGTCAGTCCTTCAAACCGGTGGCCACGCTGCAGCAGCTAGGGAGCCCACAAAGGACGTACGCGCCCAGCCACGTACATGGATACTGCCCCCGAGTCGGCGCAATGCGTGCTTTCGAGACCAACGTGGATTCGTGTACGTGTACGTCATGTTTCTGACTCGGAGTAGTGCCCTCACTTCAGCGCCTGCGATCTACTCATGCCGGTCTGTGCGTCGCCCTCGCCCCATCGCAGGCCAAACCCTGGATCAGACTTCTTCCTCGCCGTTGCCGTCTCCCTGATGATCTCTCCCCCGACTTTCCCAATCCTTCTGCTCCTCGTCCTTTCCTCCTCCTCCTCCTCCTTTCTTCTCCTGTTCCTCCTCTCCCATCCGTCTACTTTATGCATGCCTCCTCCCTGTCGCATCACCCGGTGCGTCATTCGGGCGGGCGAGACTTCCCTACAACATATGAAATCGTGAAATGGAGAATTCCGAACAGAACTGCATGTTCGTGCTGCGTCGGCGCGCGCAACAATTTTTGACACCGCCTCGATAACTCAACCGTGAACCGATCGCGGCCTTGATCGTGCAAGGTGAAATCCCGCCGGGTCCTCTGGCGTTGCCGTGTGCGTCGGGGATTCCGCGTCGCTCTATCGTGCGGAATTCAACCTTGAACGCCTTCGCTGGCGTGGTCGGCGCACCATCGCTGCAAGAACCTACCGCACGCGGGTGGAATGAAGGTGGTGTTCCAAAAGGGACTCTCGCGTTGGCGCCGCCACCACGTCGTCCAAAATGCCAATTGCGGGGATGGGGGGCGGGTAGTGTTTGGAATTACTGCTCTGGCCAGGGCGACGCGCACACTCATTATAGCACCTCGCGTTCGTTACAAGGATGGAGGACGCGGGTCTTCAAAATGGAGCTACCGCCTTAGCGCCGCGCACGCTCGTCATGAAAACTTCAATCGGTGAGGCACTGACCCAGGTCGATGCAAACCCAGATCAGTCAGGCGTCGCAAGAGCCTGCAAGATCCTGCAGGATCCTGCAAGATCCTGCACCCAATCCCGGGTCAATGCGACCCTGCCTGCAGGATTCTGCAAGATTTGGCGCTCTGACTGGCCCCCGTTTGCAGTTACCCCCGTCTCAAAACCCTCTACAGCAATTACCCCGATGGAGGCCAGTACGCTTTGAAAGTGGAGCTCTCGCCAGAAACGTCCTCATCAAATACCACCGCGCGAATAAAACCGATTACGGAAGCACGGGTAGAAGGCGGTTCCTTCCCGAAACGAAGCTGTTGCCTGAGACTTCGTTAGGCCTGCCCCAAGGGTCAACACTATGCCACAGGCACACGCGTGGAGGGCACTTCCGCCGCAGGACGAAACTGTCGCTGTGCACTCCAATGGACTTCACCAGCCGACCCTGTCGCCGCGGCCTCACCGCGAGGCAGCCGGCTCCAACCCTGACCCCACGTCGTCGTCCTCGTCGCCGTCGCCGCGACGACCATCGACTCCGAATGCCCCCCGATACCGCGAACCAGTATCCTGAGGACGCACGGTAAGGATGCAAGGGCCCTGGAGGGCCCTCTCGAAGCTTTTCGCGCGGGGCGCGGCCAGAAAAAGCGGCCAAGGATCCCCCCCCTCCTCTTCCCCTTCCTCCTCCTCCTCCTCCTCCTCCTCCTCCTCCTCCTCCTCCTCCTCCTCCTCCTCCTCCTCCTCCTCCTCCTCCCCCTCGTACTCGTGGATGCGGGCGGAAGGGGCAGGGATGCGAAGGTACCTCTTTGGGAAGGCTGCCCAACTTTATCATGCGGCCTGACTGTGGCCGCCAGAGCCTCCAAAAGCCTCCGACGACGGCCTGAAGCTACCGAACGCCTCCGATGGCCGCCCGAAGCCGCCGAAGGACACCGATGGCCGCCCCTGGAGCGCCAGGTCGCCGAGGCCGCGCCGCAGGGCTTCCCCTGTGCCCCCTGCCCCCCCCGCCGGGGCCTTCCTCTCGGAGACAGCGGCCCATTTGGCTGGGGCATCGCGGCGCCGAGGGAGGGGGGGAGGAAGAGGAGGAGGCGGAGGAGGAGGAGGAGGAGGAGGAGGAGGGGGAGGAGGAGGAGGGGGAGGAGGAGGAGGAGGAGGAGGAGGAGGAGGGGCAGGAGGAGGGGGAGGAAAGGGACGAGGAGGAGAGGGAGGAGGGGGACGAGGAGGAGCAGGAGGAGGAGGAGGAAGCGGAGGAGACGCGGTAAAATATGGAACAGACCAGCAGCGTCACGGTGCGAGCATGCATCTCACATCGTCACGTCCCACATCGCCCATCGCCTCCCCCCCCCAAATGCCAATCGGGGGTGGACAGACCTCCCTTTAGTAAACCTCCCTTTAATTAGCAACGGCCTGGGACCGAAACCGACGGACCTGGACCCGCAAAAATGACGGCCGCGACGCCCCTTCGCGAACCGAAAACGGCCAATTCCATCATCGACGTGTCACTCGGGAGCGGCCAAGAGGGGGGGTCCAATAGGGGGGGGATGCAAATCATGACCGGCGGCATGTGCGCGGCCCAGCGGGGGGGCCAGTGACGTAATGGAATAAGAAGAGGCACCGTGAAATCTGGGGAAATATCATGGCCCCCGCCATGATATCCACCCCCCCTAGTCATCACCCCCCTCTTTTCCGCCCCCGAGTCAGGGTAGGAGGTCTATCAACCTTCGCGCCAGAACATCCAAACCGAGGGCCCGTGTTCCACGGCGCAGACGACTCGGCTCAAGTTACCTCCTGGGAGCCGAGGGCCCATCGGCGCAGACGACTCGGCTTCGGGCCATGGCCGGAAACTGGAGGCCGTCACACCCTGGACCGCCCGACGGGGACATGGAGCAGCCGCGAGACAGCGGACCCAAGAGGATCCACGAGGGAGGCATGCAGAAATACGGCTACTGGGCGACGAGGACCGGCTGGGCAGCCACACCAAAGTTTGCGATGGCCACCCACGTCCGCATCGTCCTCCACACCGCCGACAAGGACACCAGTTCCCTCAGCGCCGAGTGCATCAGAGACGTGGAGCAGGTCGGTAACCCTCTGAGACCTGAGAGCGCACTGGAGCGCTTCCAAGACCAAAACCTCCCACCCACCGAACACACGCACATCCCAACGTACTGGCATCCAAAAACGGTCGACCGATACTGCAAGACCCTCCGCGACAACCGTACGACGCTGGCATACCTTCCTGCGACCGACCAGGGATGGCAGAACAGAGTCTTCGGGCGCATGGAGGAGGCACTCAGGCTGCACTCTCTTACCACTTAGGCGACTGCATACTCTTGGACAGGCACTTGCTCAGGCGACCACAAATGGTCTCCCACTACTCAGAGGTCATCAAATACAAAGATGGCAATGACGCAGCAAGGGGACAGGACGGACACAGGGGACACGGCAAGACGCAACCCCTGATCACCATATCATGGAACAGGGCAAGACAGCTTGCTGAACAGTACCATCCCAACTAGTACTTGCCAACCCGTTCAAGAGCCGCAACGAGCAGGAGTGGACTAAGCTCAGGCAGTTTCACAGCGCCTACACCAAGCAAGCCACCAAGTGCAGAGCCTTCGAGGCACAGGAGCAACAAGCAATTCACAGCAACCATGTGAAACGTGATGGAGCACCTCGCGTTGCCTTGCACATCTGGGCACAGCGCTGAACTACAGCTTGCTGACACCCTAAGATGCCAGGACCGTCTGCACGTACCTGGGAGGCGTCATAGAAATCATGGGCGCCAAGGCCGTGCACCCCACATCCGACGCTTGCAGAATCCTGGGGACATCCACTACATCACGCCACGGACAAACAGAGGCCTGCACACGCTTCCAAGCGATCCGACGGGTGACCAAATGCCGTTCAACCGCTGCAACCAATACGAGATCAACAACTTGGACCGCCAGAGCGAGTCCTACAGACTACCGCTGGACCAGGACACCCAGTGGAGATGACGTTGAGATCGGGTGCAAACAACCTACCCACGTGGCCAGAAGAACTCGATGATCTACAGCACAGAAGACCAGTCTGAATCTACAATGACGTGGCAACCGACACAGCAAATGAAATTGGCATCGTTACTACGACCTGGACGATCGGCGGCACGAACAAAATAGACATGGAGCTCATACCGACTAGGGAGCCCACTTCCATTGCGAAGCATATCAAGGACGTAGCCTCACGGCAACTACCAACCCAGGTCAAGATACACGGTAACACATCGAGATGTCGGTACATGACGGGTACGGCCAACCAAGGTCAAGATACACGGTTCCTTATTTAGGGTTTCTTGGGGAAGCCCTGAATAAGGAACGGGGCCCCTTCCTCCCATAAGTTGAGCTTCGATTTCCCATGGGAAACCTCAGGAAAACAGAAGGCAAACTGCAGAACAATCAAGGAACATCGAGCCCTTCCCCAACGAAAAGGGTTCCTTCTTCAGGGCCCCGACTGTACCCTTGGGAAGCCTACCCTGACGACAACACCGCGAAGGCGTATTACCACAACCCGCAGACGCGTGACACAACGTGGGGGACTCCCCAGAGGACTGGAGGCTCCGACCGCCACCGAGGAGACACCTGACCGACGACGACAAGGCCACCTTCAGGCACAAAAAGAGATCACGGGCGACTTGGTCAGCAGCAGGGCACCTCCCTTCAAGGTCGGAGGCGACGAGCCCAGGCCACCGCTACCGCCAGGACCACCGCCCGAGAGGACCAGCGGGGGAATCGACGTCACCCCGCCCGAGAGCATCCGCATTGTGCGGTACCACAACAAATACAAAACATCACGGAGTTCCACAATAAGGTCATTCTCTTCATCTACGAGCTCAGGCACCGGGACCCAGCACCGTCCCAAACAAGCATGAAGTTCGGACGTGAGGGGCTGAAGGCCGCTCAAATCGTCAAGGGCATCGCAGGAGACCTACGTACTCACGGGCTGCGTCGACATGGGAATCATATTGGAGCAGCTCTGCGACATACAAGACGGAGCGGACAAGTTACGCGCCGATCGCAGCCACCCAGGCTCCAGAATTGACATCGGGTCGGGCGAGAGCGGGGGATAACAAAGGAGGGGTTTGAGAATCAGCACACGTAGCTGATTTCCCCGGCGCCTCCCGGCGCCGAAGGCGGCTATGTATCGAGGAATGGGCCGCTCGGTGAGGCCGAAATCAGCTGCATGCATCAAATTTCGAAACCCCCCCTTTCCCAATCCCCCCCTTCCGTCCGGCCCGATGACACCCCTGCGCCCACCTCAACCGACAGGATCGCTGTGTGCAGCGACTGCGGCTCGAGATGGTGTATCAAGGAACACCCTATAAGCGCCAATAAGAACATAAACAACTGCACCGACACACTTTACCGCAACAGCAACGACTTGGACGACGTCTACGACCAGGCGTCCTCCCGCACCGATGACGTCCTCACCACCGGCGACCCGCACTACTCGAAGAAACGCGACACAAGCACCTTCGCGCCAAATGCGCTACAGATCAGAACGGCGGTTGATACACCTTACAAGATCGAGGTGCAGCAAGCGGAATGCACCGACAAAGAGAGAACCATCACCGACCGCGCGCGGCCGCCAGGGTACAATGGCACCGCCTGTCGCTGTCACCCAGAGAAGCCCTGCACCAGCGGCTACATCGAGCAGAAAACCGCCAAGAGCTACTACGGCAGGCATGCGACACATTCAGGGCTACGCTTAAGTCGGGCCTGTCCCCCTACAGGGGGATTTTCGACGAAAAAATAAACAATACACCACAAATAATAAAAAAATGGTCGAAAAATAGTCTGGGGACTATGTTTGGAGTATTTTTTGACATTTGGGGATATTTTGGGGGTATTTTTGATGTTTCATCCCAAATCCCCCTGTAGGGGGACACGCCCGACATAGGGCTACGCCTATACCACCTGCCATCCGACTGCCATCACAGCAACCCAAGCAGCCATCGCGTTCGCGCGCTGACGTCAAGGCCGAGGCCCAAGCCGGTGGCAGTGACCACCTGCACCCAGGCACCACGCCCCAAACAGGCAGCAATGACGACAACAGCCACCACGGCAACCATGACACACCACCAGAAGCGACGGAAGAAGGTTACTTCCACGTCTCCATCTTCAGGCCAACGACCACCCCGACCGCGACGTCAACCAGGACTACCAGGACTGGACACAGGACACCAAGAACAACAGCATGAATGCCTCTAAACAAGAGGGGCGAGAATACCCGCATCACCCGGATGGAGCCGCCATCCAACCCGAGAGCCTGGACACCACCGGCTACTGGGCCGAATGAATCAACGACGACGCCACGCACCAAGCACACGAGCACGGCGAAGAACCAGGGCTACCCTTCGGCCACAGAAGGTGAAGACCCAAGCCGCATGATCGAGTACGTAGCGTACATCGCCAACATCGCCGACACAATCGAGAACCTCCGCCTCACCGTGTACACGGAGGACCTGGACGTTTACCGCCGCGTCGTGCGGGGCATAATGCACAACACGATGTATCACGAGAGGACTTCAGGCCGTCGCACCTTCCAGGCGGAGACACACAGCAGCCTCGGTGCGATCACAAGGTCCATCGACTCCACTTGCCCAACAATCCGACACTACTCGCCAGGCATACATCCTCCATCTGCTACACCTCCAGGGATAGGCGGGCACTGGGCGCCGAGAACAGCCGCGCACGCGACGACGACCTCAGCCCAATGCCTGGCAACCTGCGACCCCCTGCCCAGTGCTGGACGCAGGGCCCGTGACACGGGCCACACCCACCCCGAGGATCACCGGCACCAAAGTCACACCTCCCAGCGACAGACCTCTCAGGCTGCAGCCAACCTCGCGGGGCGCAGCCCTCCCATGCCTCCACCAGTTTCGCTGCACCAGCGGCACAGCCATCACTTTCACGACTCTTCCAGCACCCCACTACACACTCACCGCCACCACGGCAGCAGTAGCACCAGCTAACGCGACGCACCACAGCCACACCTCTCACCAGAACCACCACTCTGAGTGACACGAGCGGAGCTCTCACACCACCCACCTCACGCCTACATCCACCTC